GCTGCTGCGGCTCATCCTGGAGATCGTCCAGGAGCTGAAGAAGTACCACGCGGGGGAGTCCAAGCGGCCGCAGCCCCTGGGGCCGCAGGACGCCGCTCCGGGCCGCAGGGAGGCCGCGGACTACGGGCTGGACCCCGAGGAGCAGCGCGCGGGTGAGTGCGCGCCGGCACCGAGCTCGTGTGAGCCTGGAAAGAAAAGGGTCTTTGAGAAAACGTATCTCGAAAAGGCAAATCCATTTCAATTATTTCAAAAATAACTTTAAGAAAATAGGAAGCCCACGAATGATGGCTCCGGGTGAGCCTCCAAGACGCACAGCCCTTCTCGCCACCGAGGGCGGCACTTCCCGCCGGGACTGTGCCCGGGCCCCGGGACGGGAAGTATTTTCACAGCAGTTTCAGGGGAGGCAGAAACCCCACCCGGCAGAGCCCCCGAGGCTGCCCTGGGGGCGGCTCCCAGGAAAGCTCGCAGCTTTTAAAGCTTCCGTGACACGATCGGGTGGACCCTGGTCAGGTCAGGTTCACGTAGACTCGGGTCAGGGGCAGTGAAGACCGACCCTGGGAGTTGTCTGAGCGGCGCGCGCGTCCTGCTGAAGTGAGCAGAGCGGACCGCACGCGGCCGGAGTCCCCCGGAACAGGTGAGAAGCGCCACCGGGCTCAGAGCAGCCGGCGGCCAGGCAGCGCTGTGGGCTCGCTGCCAGGTGCCCAGTTCCCCTGCATTCACTTTCATCCCCTAAACCAGGTTCACGGCCTGTTTTATCAGGTAAACCAGGCGTCTGTGCCACCTTTCAGAGCAGGTCGTTTGAAGACATGCCATCCATTTTCTAAACATGTGCCCAGAAGGAAAGTCCTACAGCCACGTTGGTCTGAAGGGTGTCTTCTTTCTGGAACCTCAAGGGGCTGTGGAATTGGGTTCCCAAGCTCAAGATGAAAGTGTCTAAAGTGGTTTATTCACTGGAAGCTGCCAAACCACCACCCACACATGATCTTTTCACCCTGTAACTTTATGGTCACCGTCTCTATCCCAGGGAGACGAGACGGGTGATATTGGAGCTTTGTGAGTCGTTCATACTGTTTAGAGAAAAATATGAGGACAGGTGCTTGCCCCGTTCACGTACAGCAAGCGGGGGACTCAGACTGGTTTCATTGGTCAGTCGGTGAGGCCAGCTATCCAGTGAGCTCCTTCAGCATTCACCTAGGGTCACGGGAAAGAAATGTTCTTTCAGGCAACGCAGTAACTACTTTCTTTCCCCACAAACAGAAATCGTTCCTCGAGATCTGAGGATGAAGGACAAGTTTCTAAAGCATCTGACAGGTAGGTCTTCTCCTCTGCTCACCTGTCCCCCAATCCTTGCCTCCTGGGAGCCTCATGACCTGCCTCTTCTTCTGTCCCAGGTCCTCTTTACTTCAGTCCAAAGTGCAGCAAACACTTCCACCGACTTTACCACAACACCCGCGACTGCACGGTCCCGGCATGTAAGTGAGAGCACCTGGCTGCTCCGGCAGCTACGGGAGGGGTGGCTCCCACGGCCTCCCACCTAACCAAACTGGGCCACCCTGCCAGACATGTTCTCTTTCAGCCATGGAGTCAGGGGCCAGGTGACCAGCCCACTGAAGACAGTCACTACATTGGGCAGCAGCCAGGGCCAAACTTAAACTCAGTGACTTTCACTGCAGTTTAGGGCTTGGAGTGGGACCATCAAACAGGTGTTGGGCATGAGGTGAGGGGTGCAGTGCTCAGGGCGAGGAGAGCTGAGGGACCTGGGCCATCCCGGGACGTTTCCACGCACAGTGACACCCTCATCACCCAGGATTAAATTGCTATTTCAAAAGTGTTTCATCACTAACTCAGAAATGTGGGCCTGCCCTCCTGGTGCCGAGTGGCTGTGCCTTCCTGGTTGTTCATCCGTGAAGGCATGTGTTTATTTCCCCAGAGGTGGTTCCTTGTGCTGTTCACAAAACATATAATAGTGAGAAGTCACTTATTAGGTAAAGTGACATCTGCTAGAGCCCTAAACCCCCCCCCCTTTTTTTTTTTTTT